ATTTGGCCGCACTCAAGGGCTCCTATGATTCTCTGTTTTGTGTCAAGCAGGGTATGAAGAACGGTCAGCTCTTCAAGTCGATTGTTCAGGTTGCGGAGGGAGCAGATTTGAGGCATGCAAAATCGCGTGTGTTAGAATCCTTGCAGGCGGAGCTGAGGAGCCTCGATGATGCTTTTGAACCAAGGAGTTACTTGCCTTGTTCTCCTGATATCAAGAATGCATTGATGGAGTTGCTGCTCTCTCCCATGACTCACTCTGCAAACCTGGCAGACCTTGTCCATATAGAGAGGGTCCTTATGCAAATTCACATGGATCGACATGTGCGCAGCATTGGGCTGACGACGTGCCAACTTCTGCAACGAGCTTGGATCAACGTTGATGTTTACAGCCATGTTGCCCAACGAATGAAATACGTCACCAAGATTTCTTACGCGATGCTGCTACTCACTGGCTATGCAATCACCGTTGTTTCGGTCGTTAATGTAAACATGCCAGGTGCTCTACCGGAGAATGTTGCAGATTACACCGTCCTTGGCTTGACAGTATGTGCAGGCCTTATATCTGCCCTGGTAACGTTTCTTGACCCTGCCACGAAATGGCAGCAATTGCGTGCTGCTGCATTGCTACTGGAATCCGAAATTTGGAAGTTCAGGTCCTCGGCTGGCGTGTATTTCAGAGACATGACGTCTACTTATGCGGAGTCTGTCGAAGAAGCTCTGGGAAATGCCACTTGCATGATCGAGGATTCTGTGATGAAATCGGCCAGCATCTCTGAAACTTCTTTCTTTGCCAAATTTAGGGTGAGTGGTGTTCCCCGATCGTTGAACATCTATAGACATGGGCAGTATGAAGGTGCCGGATGTAGTGGCTCGCTGCCCAGTCCTCAGGGTCAAGATGATCACTATTCAGATCTGTCTGCGGATGAGTACATAGCTCTTCGGTTTGAGCCCTTAGTAAGCTTCTACCAGCGACGCTTGCCAAGATATGCGCGCTGCTATGCAATTCACCAAGCAATTCTTGCGCTGGCAGCATCCGTGCTCACGATGCTGGTATACTTTGGTGCTGCGCAATGGTCTTCTGTTTGTGCGGCTGGCGTGGCAGCGGTGACAGCATGGACGGAGTTTAATTCAATTCAGAAAAAGATGAGGCGGTATTCTGAAACGATACATAATGCCAATCAGGTTCTGCTCTGGTGGCACTCCCTACAGTCTATGCAGAAAACAGCCAGCTTTCCTGTGCTGGTTGAACGCTGCGAGGCTTGTTTCGGAAGTGAGCATTCCTCGTGGCTGTCTTCAAGGTTGATCACCCAGCAAGGCCTTAACAAGCTGTCAGGGACCGTCAATTCGGCGGAGGACGAGGACGGCAAGACCCACTAGGCAGACACTCCTTAAAGGAGTTGGATGCAGCTTTCGAGATTAAAAACTAGTCGGAGCTTCCAGTCTTGTAGGCTTTGTCATGAGATGTCAGTGTAGGTGCTCATGGAAGGCACTGCAGATATCAACGAACTTGCGTTTCCTATCATTCTGGATCCGGACAGTAGAGTCAGTAGAGCATGTTTGTCATGCTTGGCAACATTTCTTACAGTGGGACTCAATGAAGGAGATCTCATTTAAAGATTTATAGGTGCAGGGCCTGTTCCAAAAAGGTGCCTTATGGCCCATGTTCAGTAGCTTGTACCTCGTCCACTGGATGTAGTGGGCACGGGCGTGAGGTAACTGAGGGTAATATTAGGGCTATATTGGGGTAATATTGGGATTATGGAAAAAGAGCATGTAAACTACTATTTAGGGTTGGGGGGGTTTAGGTGGATTAATAAAGCATTTGCGACTTGCTCCAAACCCAACAGTTTTGGAGCATTTGTTTGCAGCGTTTATCCCTGAGCTTCAGGAAGCTGGGGCTTGAATGCATCTTAACATGGAATCAGGGTTTTGGGTTTAGGGTTTTGGGTCTAGGGTTTAGGGTAGAAGCTGCTCGAGAGTCCCCATTTAAGGGTCATTGCAAAAACCTCCTAACATGCGACTCCGAGCATCCTTGAAAAGAGCCTCGTAACCGGAGCGGCTACAAAAGCTTGATCCCATTCCTCAAGATCCCATTCCTCAAGAGGCTTGATATTATCATTGTTAGTATGACTCATGCCCATTATTACTACTACTACTACTACTACTATAGTACTACTATTGTTATTATTATCATGACTATAGTACTATTTTTATTTTACTGTTTTGCATCCTGCAAGGCTGCCACCTAGATATTGGGCGGTGTGAGCCCTGTCCACTCCAGTTCCTCAAAAAACTCGAAACGCTCAAGCCCGACACAGGGACCTGGACGACTTTGCGCACTTCACCCTGCCTTCTGCAGCAGAGGGTCCACTCCCCATCTGGCACAGGGTGTCATGGTGCAAATTCTGAACAGATTATTTCGAGGATCATGTCTGAAGATCTCGAAGGACATTGTTGTGGAATATTCGAGGCCGCTTCTCAGATGTTGGGTAGTCACACAAAAAATGCCAACATTTTGCTGACATCCCAAACTGTCTACCTCCGGAAGCACGGTCTTCACTACACGTGACAACATCCAGCCTTGATTTTGAGAGGGTTTTACTGAAGCAGCCCGCTGGTCTTCTTCGATCCTAGAGAGCTTGTGGGGGTTTCCAAATTTAGGCGTCCTTCGCTGAGGGTTCCTACCATAAGGACTAATCATACATAGTATGTTGGGAGCTACATGGGGGGGGCCCCTGTTTGTAACAAGTACCATCTAGACACGGACCAATAATTGGACTGCAACCCCTGGATACCCTGCTCCAATCCTTACTTCTAACAATCCATGGACTTCCAAATAAATCTCATGACCCTACTTGGAACCTACAGAACAAACCCAAGGTTATGCACTCTGTTTCGTAGCACGTATTTCTAGAATCCTTAACATTATGGGTTGCGTTGTGGGTTCCAGCTGCAGTGGAAGCTACGGGGAGCTCTGCTGAGTAGTGTCCTGCCTTTTCAGATAAAGGTTGGTTATTTTATTTTCAAGGGACTTTACTGGGAACCCCAAACAGGGAGCCCCAAGAATATAGCAGGAATGTAATGGAATATGAGGACCCTGGTAGGTAAATTCCTATTCCTACTATATTCTTGGGGTTCCCGGTTTGGGGTTCCCAGTCAAGTGCCTTTGTAGTTGGGGTTGGCGCAGGCAGGCCCCATGGGCCCGTAAGCTGCTGTTCCGGAGGCGATGGCGGCGGCGGCGGCGGCGGCTAGAAAGTTGGGACACCAAGACCCCCAAAGGGATCTACAAATTAAATCCCCTAAAACAATGGGGGCAGTTATATGAGGATTATACAGGGGTTATGAGGTCTACCCAAATTTAGGGGATCTAATTTTTTAGATCCTCCCAGGGGTCTGGGAATTGGGACATGGCAAGATGTGGGAAGATGCAAACGCAGGGAAACAACAACCCTAAACTTACTGGGGGTTAGTACAGAATATGGGAATATATCATATAGGGTTATATAGGGATTATATTCCCCTTTTCCTGACTAACCACCAGTAAGTCACCCCCCCCAAAAAAAGCTTTAAACCCTGAAGCTATAAACTCCAAACCCTAAAACTATAAACCCTATCACCCTGGCAACTAGGCTTCGATGAGGTCCGGTATGAGTGGGCCAGCGAGGCCGGGAGATCAATTTGGTATTTATATAGGGTTTAGGTGTTTAGGGTTTAGAGTTTTAGGGTTTAGGGTTTAGAGATTTAGGGTTTAGGGTTTTTGGGTTTAGGGTTTAGGGCTTTAGGGTTTTGGGTTGAAACCGCCTGAAACGATAATTATATAGATTAGGATACAGCCCTCCCATAATTGCTGGGGATCCTAAGGGACTTTATAGGGCTATAAAGCATTTAGAGTTTGGGGTGAGATTGTACTGGGGTGACTGGAAAACGGAACCAACATCCTACCTTTTGTAAGGGTATACACGGATATGTAGGGGTATGTAGGGGGTATGGCAGGGTATGTAAGATTTAGGGATTCGAGTTTAAGGTTTACGGGATTACCCTTCACCAATTCTACATGGAGCCCCGAAAAGGGTCTTGCAGGGATGTAGGGATCATGAAGGGAGTATATGGGAGCATAGACGGATGTATGAAGATATAGTGAACAAAAGTTCACGGTGGAGGATCCCAGAGTTAGAGTGTCGGGTTTAGGGCGTTGCCTATAGGGACTTTAGGGCTTCAGGAGTCTAGGGTTTAGGATGTAGGNNGGGGGGGGGGGGGCGGTTCGTCCTTATCTTGCCAGCTGCCTTCCCGTAGTGTTACTGGGAAGAACTGGGACTCCAGGGTTGCTGATTCGCCGCTAGCTGTAGGAGAGTGACCTAAAGAGTTTCAAGCTCAACATGCGAAACTGTATCTGCGCTCAAGGGAACAGAGTGGACTCTTGGTGTAATCCTGAATTCCCTGATACAATGGCCTTGCGCAGTGGCCCAACTGGAGAGATGCTTGCTCTCTGCATGGATGGCTGTTGTGATGTCATTCGTGGGTGGCAGCTTGTAACAGATTCGCACTTGAGACCACTTGACTAGCCATCTATATGTTGGGGTAGGCTAGGAATTGATCCCTACAGTGGTTGCTTAGGCGTGAATGATTTCTTAAGCACGGCACCACGACATACGAGATAGCTACAAGGAATGACGCTCACTTGACGCATCTTGATGCTTGCGCCAAATGTCTTGCGCCAATCTATGGCTCACGATGCAAGCTGTAGCTCACAGCTTCCCATGAAGCTTGGGGTTTCTTGGAGAGATCAACCATCTCCAGAATGCCCCAAACCGTCACAAGCTCCTGCTGCATGGCCGGGCCTCCTATAAGTGAGCATCGCGCACGAAGCCAATCCTGAAACTTGAATCCCCCACCTCCAGACGTAGCACTCACCCCACCCCCCTAACCCCCGCTATTAGGGCTCCTGTTTCGGGCTGGGCCGTTTGCGCCTCGGGTTTCTGAGGGCAATCTGGGTGTAGAAGCATGCTCTCCGTGTGCTGCTACGTGGATCGGCCCTCGGCGAAAATCCGGCAACAGCCGTTAAAGGCGGCAAGGGGCGGGTGGGTCAGGGAAGCCAGATTAAGTTTAAGCGCGTAAGGTTTCAAGGGTTGGCAGTGCTCAGGACCGTTTAGGATCCACATTTCTCTTCAATGGGTCCAAAACACCTTCTGACAGGGCCCAGTCAGGGGCCAGGCTTTCTTTGCAGGATTCGGTTGTCGGCGGAGAGCTGTCATGGGCTTAGAGAAGCCTGTTGCCACCAACAAAATCGCCTACCCCGAATCCCAAACTTGCTGATGATTGGTGGTAAACGGGTAAGGGAGGTAGTCCCTACATATTCCTTGTTCCCTCCTATTTACTAACTAGCCACAGGTAAAAAACAGACAATCCAGGGTTGGGAAATCCATGGCAGAGGCTTTGTGAAGGAAGCAGTTCCCAAACAGTCCTGTGACCTATCCCCCCATGAAGCCATCTGTCTGCAGAAATGTCGACTTCATAGAGCCAGTTTCGGGCTCAGTTGTAGCGGACTGGGGGCTGGCAAGCTCACCTCACCGCTCAGACATTCTGGAGCTCCAGGTATCAGGTCCCTAGATCCTTGCGAATCTGCGTAGTTTACTTCCATCGCCGAAATGCATTCATCTTGCCGCAGGCATTATGCGCCTCGGAGGACTCGCCAAACTACCAGGCGAGGCGTGATGTTTTGGATCTGCAATGATTGTGCATCCCAGCCAGCTCTTCGAAGTTTTGATGCATCTCATTGGTTACTCAGATCCCCTATCTTCGATTGATTGATGTAGGCTGCTGAATAGCTGCCTTCTGCAAAGGGCCCCAAGTGTGGACTCGCTCAGGTGATTCTTGCAGCAGCTAAGAACCTGGGCGGCGACCTGTCTGACTGGCAGCGTGGCTGGTGCACTGAGGAGGCCGCGAACTGCTTAACCTACTCATCCCTAGATACCAGGTTCAACTCCTCCTGAAAGGCTTGCCTGGCCGGGTGCTTTCTTGAAATTACGTACACTGCCAAGGTTAACTTCGGCAGGAGCTGGATAAAGTGCTTGCTGCCGCGGGAAAACTTGGCAAGACTATCCACCGGATGCACCCCTTGCTGCCTTGCGGAGATCTAGCATGGATGGCAATGTTCGCGCGGAAGGACATTCGTCACAGAGCTGTCCCTGGTGTCCCGCCAGAGCTAACTACGGCACGAGGTTGACGTAGTGCTTGCTGCAGCAAGAGAATTTGGCAAGAACGACGCTGCATGCTCCCATTGCTGCCTTGCTTTGTGTGGCGTTGATGGCAAAGTTT